ACAGATGAGTTCCGTTAGCGGTCGGGTGAACGTTCACCGATGAGTGACTATTCCAAAATTCAGCCGAGGAGATAGGAAAAGAAGAGGTAGAAGAAGCAAAGGGCAGAATAACGTCTCCATGTTCCATTAGCAATTCTTTTCCCTCTTTTGGAATTACTCACCCACACACACTTCTAGTCTTGAAGGAAATTGCTACTCTTCAAGATTATGAGTGTTTTTCCTCCACGTTCTGTAAAAAGCTTTTAAAACACTTTTAGGGAGGCCAATCGACGTTTGAGGGATGAGCGAGACGAAGGCCTTCTCAGAAGGGGTTCCTTGCATCAACGCTCTGAATCAACTGGCGAGTCCCTATACATGGCCATGCAGCTCGGTGCTCAGGGCCAGAGTACAGTTGACGGATACAGTCGAATGAATACAGTTCGCCCAAATTTGGTCGAACGTACTGATCGTTACGCTGCAAACGTTCACCACACAAACGCTATGGCACGACGTGGTTCCACAATGGATACCTACTTTTCTCCAATGTCGTAAGCCATTGGACCTTTATATGCACCACCAGCATATCATAGTTGAGCTCAGTTATAAAGTAACTATTGGCGTATCTTTACTGTGCAACTGCTTACTAGGGCCCTCATTATGAGTAACAAGACCCAGGCGGAACGCGCAGCAGTTATATTACAACAGGATCCTCTCTTATATTTATCCTGCTAAGTATAAAGTGCCAAGTCAATTGATCTAAGATATGGTTTTAGATCAGGCAAATAGCACAAAACTTTAATAATTTCTCCATTTTACCAGCACGGGCGCTCGCTGCTCTACTGGGGAAGGCAGCATAATCGAGGAAGAGGCAGCTGGTGATGAATTTACCGATGACATCTCCGATAACTCCGTTTTTGGGTCAAGGAGAAAACGGTCTCCTACTGGTAGCTTGACTGGAAACTTGACCGATAGGTGAGCAGTTTTGGGAGTTCAGTTTTCCTTTAAAAATGAACGCAGGCATAGTTTTTTTTCTACTTCATATTGTATGCGATTCTACCTTCTGCTATCGATTTTTATTCAAAATTTTGCATATTTACATAAGCATGGTTCGCGGTTTGGAAAAGACCGTTTGGCAAGGATAACTTATATGGCTCCCTAAACAGGAAATAAGCACAGGGACCATCCGTGGTACAAGAGGCTATGCTCTACATCTCACGGAAAATAGGGTCTTTTTAAGGTTAGTTTGAAGTTTGCGGTTAAGTTTAAGGTCAGGCTTAAGGCCTAGGTAGTGAGGGTCAAGTTCAGAGTTAAGGTAAGGATTATTGCTAATTGTAGGGTTGGGGTTTAGCTTAGGGCTAGAGTTTAGATTAGGGCTGTGGTTTAGGTTTGCATCAGAGCTAGTGTTAGGCTTGGGACGCAAGAAAGCTTAAAAGTGGAAGATGTTATCGCTGGAACAAGAAGTTTATTTACCCGACGTTTCAGATTCTGGCTTGAACTGATCATCAGATATAACCGCAGAAACGGGTGATAAAGGCCCAGGTTACGCAGTATTTATAGTCCGAACCCACAGACCAAAATCTTGCGCTCAGTATGTGGATGACGGCTTCATTCTAATCGAACGGGATCAGGTGCTGACCTTCAAGGGAAGTCTAAACGTCGTAGTTCCAGACCTTCAATTAAGGATGGAGAAGGAAGAAAACAACAACCTGCTTTTTCTCGAGATTACTGTTTGTCGAAAAGACCGTGGTGACCTAAAAATAAAGGATCCAGGAAAACAACCAACACTATAAAAGTGCTGAACTTCAAAAACAACCACCTAATTAGTCATCAACACAGTTGCGTAAGAGCGCTATGCCGGTGCGTTGAGGGACGTCGCAGACAAAAGGAAGACAGAGTTGCTGAATTACAATACGTTCCCTAGGCGCTTAGAGTATACGATTACTCGCGCAAATTTGTCAACTAGTGCATACCCAAACGAGAAGAGAGGCCAAATGCAACCCACCCTAAAGTTTGACGAGCTCTTTCGTAAGGGAAGAATTATCGGAAGCAGTCAGCCGCCTTCTCGATCCATTTGGAG